TTTTACCAGATCATAGTATGCTAAACAATTATGGCCAATTGATTATCAGTTAATTTTTTTTCATGGTTAGGAATGCCAATTAACAGTCACCCTGGCTACAGATTAGATTACTGCTCAATTACTGATTAATTATACCCCAGGGTACACACCAACCTGCAATTAAGAAGGGAAATGGCATGAATGTATATCAACATTTCAGATTATTTGACTGTAATGCTTTAACTCCTAAAGATGGAGCTAACATTTGTTTAAGGAAGGAAAAAATCTAGGTGTTATGTATAAAGGATGTAGAATATACTGTTGAAGAATACATTGTAGAAGCAACAATAATATAACAAAGAACCCTAGACAGGTAATAGGTATAACCACAGTAATATCTAATATTTTTCATTATCTTTGAGGAAGTGTCTCATAAAAATATTTGACTTTATAGAGGTGGTTGAGATGCTCTTATTTTTGAACTTGGTTAACAAGTGCACAGTTCATTTTCCTTACAAATTAATGAATTAGATGTCTAATAAAATTCTACTTTTGTAAACAAAATAGCCCTCACACAACTATATACCAAACATTTAAAAAAAATTTTTTTATTAATTTGAGTGCATAAACTGGTCAACCACAACATTAGAACCACTGGCAGGTGAACATTGATTATATTGTTAAAATGGCACTTGTCTAGGGGTGAAATATATTGGGCAGCAAGTGAATAGTCAATTCTTGAATTTCATGTGTTGGAAACAAAAAAAAAGGGCAAGATCTGTGTGACTTGGATAAAGATAAAATAGTGATGACTGGACGACTGGGTCCGGGCATCTCCAAAACTGCAAGTCTTGTGTGTTGTTCCCAGCATCCAAGACTTGTTGATGCACATGCAGAGCGTAAGCTAGCCCATCTGGTTTGATTACACAAAAGAGCCACTGGAGCTCAGGTTTCTGAAAAACTTAATGCTGGGCATTACAAGTATAAAAATGTTGCTAGGCATAAAATATAATTTTGTCTGTATAAAACGGCATGGCTTAATGTATGTCCTCTAAACAGGGCTGGGATTTTTATGAAAGCTATCCCCTTCAGATTTTATTTGGCTCCTTCGCCAATGCATAAGCCTAGAGCTGTGAATGATTTTTTGTCTTTTGTCATGTATTATCAATCTAACCAAATTCACGCTGATTTGCCCCTTTAAATATAATTTTAATAATTATTCATATTTGCCAATGGAAGTTTGGAAAGATTACCATTTGATCGAGGTATAATTGTTAAACGCTGTCACAGTCAGCTATGTACATACTACTTGACTAACCAAAGGCCTGGCCAGGCCATCTGACAAACCAGACAAATCATCATATCAGCAATAAAATATATTATAAACCGTCTTTAAATATCCCTCCCTCCCCCAAGATCATGTTTGTCTGCAGGCTAATCTTAGGCCTTTTGGGACCCTTTCTAATGTCAAACATGGGTTGCAGGCATTGTTTGGAATACAAATTGGGGTCAGAAACTATGGGGAAAAAGACAGAGGGTGAGTTGCGTAAGAAATAAAATGGTGATAGGGATGGGTTAGCACTATAGGGAATGAGATAGATGGTATGTAAAAGGCATTGCAGGAAACCCCACATTATCCCCATCCATCCTTCATCTTTCCCACATTATAACAAATAAGTCCAGATTTACAATAAACACTAACAATTTTTTTTAAACAAAGCTGCACAAAAACATATATAAACATATATGAAAAGCAATATTGTGTTACATACTTCCATGTGGACAAAGTTGAATTTATTTAAACATTAACCATTTCCTTTATTTTGTTAGCACTCTGTGGCTTAAATCCACTGGGAAACTGACAAAGGCAATGTGAATATATAAATAATTATATTGCTAAGCACAGCCTTGAATGAGTATAATATAATAATTACAATAGTATTACATTATCAGGGTTATTCTCTAACATGAGAATCCAAGGTGAATTCAAAGTAGATTTCAAATTAAAGGTCAAAACAGCCCAACTGGAAACATTCATCAGTTTTGTTTTCAATTTGGCTGCTCTCACTTTAAATTCTCACTTTAGTAAATAACCCTATATGTATTATTGTTTTAGGCATATTATTACAGTATCACCCTGCTCATTTAGGGTGGTTTGTCACCATATTACTGTTATGCATATTCAGAGTATTAACCATACTCAGTGGGATACAATTCCACCATCTACCTAGATGACCCAGAAGAGATAAAGTGACTCTATTTTTTTTATTTTTTAATAGAGAGCTGATCATGCTGAGAGTGTGCACCGACAGCATCCTGTGTTCCCAAGTCAGTCAATTTTCAGCTGTAACCAGTGGATAAAACGGTCATTGTTCTGATATGTAATCAATATATGACCTTGTTAGGTTCCACTCTCTTGCTCAATCTAAATCTGCAGGTTGCTGTGATTACTTGTAAGTGATTGTTGGAGACCAGTATAAACTGTATGCTTCATGCTGGAACATGGAGTCTCCCTGTGCAGGATAGAAAGAGGGGTATCTTAGAAAGCACTTGTCTTTTAAGACTCATATGCTGCTTCTATCATTAGTTTCTCATTCAATATCGATGCTTTGCCAAAATTGGTAAATGCATACTGAGTAATATACGTTTACAACATTAGAACCACCTGCCTAATATCATGTAGGTCCTCCTTTGCTGCCAAAGCAGCTCAGATGCGTTGAGGCATGGACTCCACAAGACCTCTAAATTTGACCATTGCCATTAAGAGCTGTACGATGCCTGCAACAATCTCTAGGTAGGTGGTGAGTGTCAAAGTAACATTTACATGAATGCCAGGTCCCAAGGATTCGCAGGAGCATATTGCCCAGAGCCCAACACTGCCTTTGCCAGCCTGCCATCTTGCTGCCACCTCTTCCCTAGACAAATGATGCACATGCACTCAGCCATCCATTTGATCTAAAAAAAAATGGTGATTCATCAGAGCAGGCAACCTTCTTCCATTGCTCCATGTCCAGTTCTTATTGTCACATCCCCATTGAAGACTTCTTCAGTGGTAGACAGGGGTCATCATGTGCACTCTGACCAGACTGTTGCTACGCAGCTCCATGCATAGCAAACTACAATGCACTGTGTGTTCTGACACCTTTCTATTTTCTATCATTATGTTTTTCAACAATTTGAGCTATAGTAGCTCTTCTGTATGATCGGACAAGATGGGCTAGCCTTCACACTGACATGCATCAGTAGGTTTTGGGCCCCCATGACCCTGACGTCTGTTCACCGGTTGTCTTTCCTTGCACCACTTCTGGTTGGTACTAACCACTGTATACTGAGACACGTGTGTGTGTCTATGTGTTTATATGACTGTGTGATTTAGTGTCTATGTGTGCACATGACTATGTGAGTAATTGTGTGTCTCTGTATGTTTTGACAAATTGTGCTTGCTCTTCTATGTATGCTTGCAATTGTGTGTATATATGTATGTTGCTATGTATACGTATGAATATGACAGTTTGTGTATTTCTTCACAAAAACCTTGGTTGGACAATTCCAACCAACTAGGGGCATAATGTCAGTAAGCAAAACTAATTTATTTATACCTGCTGCCATATGTCAATCATCATTGGTATCAACTGTATATCAACTAATAAATGGTTGGTGAGTAGTGTAAAAAAGCCCAGATGGATGGTTTTGACAAGGTTATTCACTAAAATATGAATGGTCAGGAATTCAAAGTGAATTCACAGTAAATTTAAAATCTTGGGCCAAAATAAAAATATAGTTAACTTGAAGAATCTTTCAATTTGTCTATTTTGTCTAAAATTTGAAATTCACCTTGGATTTACATTAAAGTCCTAACAAGTCACACTTTATTGAATAATCCCCTAAGGTGCCAAAAATATAAGAAGTGGTTAATAATTACCACTTCAAACTTAATATACATTTTACAAGTACTCCCTCTTTGATTTCCTTATGACAACCATATTACATTTCCACAACCTTCACAAATTGGTGTTTATATTAAGAAATGGAGAATGTTAGAGCGTTGAGACAACGAGGACCAATTAATATGATTAATAATAACACAGCCTGGGAAGTGTTTTGAGTTAATTTTTTTTTCAAATAGACTGCTTGATAAGTTGTTCTTGTTTGTAGAAATAATACTCATTAAAATATTAGTCTGTATTCTACACGAAAATCCTTTAACAAAGGGGCAGAATAGCAACTTTAATCAGTGGAGGTCCTTAAGACAACAGTAGGATATTGAAGGAAAAAGGAGTTGAGAGAAAAGAGAAGATCTGAATGCTCAGAAACGGCCACATAATGAAGATTGAGATATTATTATTTGACAGTAAAACATACACATTGTAATATTTAAAAAGGTGTCCTTACAACAAGAATACCAGATTCAATAGTGAAATTAGTTAAACATATTCAATATTGTTATTTAGCTCTTTGTAGAAGATAGCAATAGGAAATGGATTTTAATATAATCTTCACAATGGAACTTTGATTGGATGAAACTAGCAAAATGCTCCCCTCTGATACCAACAAATGTTCTATGTGCCATGTATTTCACTAGACTAGCCAGCTTAATTGGGTTTGTTGAATAGCCTTTAAACTACAAATAAATAAAGGTACACTTTAAGCACCAGAGCCACAACAATTTAATTTATTGGTTCTGATGCAAAGGTCACATACCTGCAGTCTGACAATTGTAAACACTACATTTCCTGAGAAATAACAGGGTTTACATTTGTCCCAAAGGCCATCCTTAGTGGTTTTTATTCAGAGAGCCACTAGAGGCCCTTCCTGGCATGGTCCTAGAAAAGACTGATATTTGGCAGACTTGCTGGGAAAAAAGATCTATTCTTCCAAAGAGTACACCTGACAACATTTCAAACCCTGCAGAGTTTTTATCATACTTAGCAATTCTACTGGAATTTCAAGCTCTGGGGGGACCTGTGAGCTGCACACAGCTACACTGACAATGTGGTGGTCTTCCACATTTCTGTTTGACTTCTCTGTGTCACGACAGTGACCCCTTCACACAGATGGTAACCCAGAAATGGACGTATACCGGACCTTAGGGTGGCCGGACTTAACGTCAGAGGATAGTCAAAGGAAAAGTCAAGGATCAAGGGAGTACGGAAATCGGGATAAACGAGAAAGCCAAGCCAAAAGTCGGAGAGCCAGATAGGAGAATCGTCAGTACGGAAGCCAAGGGTCAAAATACCAGAAAAACAGATAACTAAGTATAAGAGCACCAGAGGAACGATCAAGAACCACACTAGGGCACTGAGGGGTGGACAGGGATGCCCTTTTATACTGATGTGTGTGTCACTTTAAAGCCACGCCCCCAAAAGGTCCGGGAGCGTGACCGCGTTTGAATTTTCGCGGCAAAACTATCATGACGTCGGCGCGCATGCGCCGCGTTATAAAACTGATTTCGCCGCGAGCGGGCAGCGTCTGACAGGCTGCGCTGCCTCCCGGAAGCAGCCGGGGGAACCGCCGTGCTGCGCGGGATTGGCGGACACAGGTAAGGTATCGTCACACTCTGTAAGTGACAGTTTCTTGTTCCCTCAACTCAGTAAATGTTATTAAAAGGTTCTAATATTTTTGTCTGCACCCTGACGAGGTTATTCTCTAAAGTGTGAATTGTCTGGAATCGAAAGTGAATTTAAAAATGTACGCCAAAAGTCAGTAATTTATTAAAATGGACTACTTTAGCCTATAATTTTAATTTCCTTTTGAATTGACTTTCAAATACTGATAATTCATTCTTTACTGAATGACCCTGAATGCAAAGAAAAACGTTTGATACATTTAGGATGTTTTTGTGATTTTGAGAGACAAAACGAAATATAAAAATGTTTGAATCTATTGCTATGTAATGCTAAAATTAGAAATAAATATGCTCCAAGGAGTGAAAAGTTCACATCCACAAGAAAGGCAATTAAAATGTAATCTTTAATAAGCACATATTAACAGAAAATTCTAGAGCATGAATTTAACACATTAAAAAAGACAATCTATATTTCAAGGGAAATTTGTATGTTGTAAAGATTACATTATTTAAGGAAAATGCATGGCATAACGTGTTTCTACATTTAATACAATTTGATTAGTACACAGGGGCTGTTAATTTATTTTCTACCCTGTACCTCACACCTTCTTGATTCTCCTTAAAAGTATAACCCAGTTTCCCATCTGACATGTTACTTAATCATTAACTGTCTAGTTTCTCATTTCAGTATTCCAGAGGGATGGCACTTATTAAAGTGGTCAATGACTTTCTAGCAGCTAAAACATATACATGGGTAAATATTGAAGCAATCAGAACATTTTTGCAAGCCTGATCTAATCTATTTATGGTCAGCTATAGGTAGCAACATTTTGTGGATGTCAATGCAACCATTGTCAATATACACAAAGACACAATGCTATTTAAATGATACCACCATCATTCATACACCCAAGGATCACCTTTTATCTTCATAGAAATTCAAGAATGGTTTCCAAAATCCTAATTATATTTGCAGCATATTGAACCATGGTTCATATATATATGTTATATATTGCATTATGATATATAAGAGAGCAGACATTTAATTTCTTTTTTTAGGTTCCCAACAGGCATATTGACAAATATTGTAAAACTACAAAAACCATGATACATATAAAGACCTTAAAATAACAAAGCATCATGGAGATTGTAGGGGATCTAACTTTGGGACTTACAGTATATGAATTAGATAAGACAATAAGTCCAATTGATTGGTATTAAAGCTATCCAGAACATCTTCGTGGTTACTTTTTATCTATATATTTTTCCCCTTTTCACATGGCTGAATGGAGGTCTGCATTTTAGTTTTTTAAAAGCAGAACAGGGAAAGTAATGGCACGAAACGTGTCAGGGTACCACTCAGCTCTTACCTGCCCAGCATGCCTGTGGTGCCCTGAGAGTGGATCCTCGAGGAGCTGCTGCTCAGACATTATTCCCTACTGTCATGATCTGGCCTCGGTGTCAGGTTCAGTGATGGTGCCACAATGGCAAGATGATGGATGACTCATTGGACACCCTCTTGTCTTTGCAGCCATTCAGAAAGGGGCAGGAGTACTGGAGGAGCAGATGGGAGGAGACCTGATGCAATCAAGATGGTACCATATTTTGGATCCTCCTTTATAAGTTCTGAGGGCTCCTGTTACAGGGAGGTGGGTGGTGGTCTCAAAATTTCTCACCCTATAAATACCCAAGCACTGCAACTGGTCAGTGCTTGGTTGTTCTGATGCTTGCTCCAGTCTCCTACCATCCTGGTTCCTGATCGTTGTTCCTGGTTTCTGATTCTGATTCTTGACTCTGGTTCCTGATCCTTGTTCCTGGATCCTAATCCTTGCTTCTGGTTCTGGATTCCTGGATCCTGATTCACAGCAAAACATTTCAGTTTCTGATCCTTGGCTCTGACCATGACCACACTTCTTGTCGCTGACTTTTTACCTCTGGCATCCTGCACCCAATTTGGGAATTTCCTGGATTCTGACCTTCTGCTTACTCCTTTACTGCCAGTCCTGACCTTTCGACCGCCTGACACCACTTCCTGTCTGTTCCTTTCTGTATTTATCACTTCCTCTTTAAATAAAGGCACCCACATCCTCATAGATTTCCTAGGTTTCCATATTACTCTCAGGCACCTGGGAAGGCCGTGTTTGCAAAGGGTTGCCTTTCCACTACAACTGAGTTCCAAGCAACCAAGCTCCAAGCAGACCAACTGGTATGTTGTTACAGAACTACCCCAGCGTTGCCAAATTATTTTATGATTTCAAGGCATCTATAATTAAAATGATATAAGGGATTCTCGTTTCTGTTTAAAACACAGTACATAGCTTTAATATACATTTTTCATTTTTCAATGCACATTATTAGCAATTATAAGAATGCCATTTTTTTTAGAATGTTAACCTGAACTAATGTGTCCTGTCTTGCCTTTACAGCATTTATGTTGACACTCAAAGGCAGTTACCGTCAAAGAAGGCGGTTCCTGGAAGGACACTAGGTACATAACCAAATGCTTTTTATGAGTTGGGATCAGCAGCTAGATTGAAGGTCTAATAGAAAGTGGTGGGGACACTTGAACATCATTAACAAGTGCCACTTCAGACTAGCCCACCATTAACAGACGACACTTCTGAGTATCTTCACCGTAATCAATAAAATGTATGTCAAATTCACTGTCTGCAAATGTTATTCAAAAAAGGCATGGTTATTGTGTGGCACTGCTTTTATAATACATGAAGAATGTTAGTTTGTATGTTTGCGTGTATGGTAAGTTTGGTTGGACTGAGTTGAGATGATTTTTAGATATGTTTTTAGAAGGTCCTACGGCTAATGGCATGCTGTTATTGGGATTTCCTTCTTCAAAGGTTTCTGTAGAAGAACATGTTATCAGTCAATGTGTTTTTACCAAGCATATTAATGAGTTACAGCAGGTGTGATTAAATGAAATAGTTTTTTTGGGGGGGAGGAGGAGGGTTTATTAGTTAAATCCTGATTACAGTAATTTAACATGTGCTTCTGTTCCTGTTTGCTCACTTGCCATTGGCTGAACAAAGCCTTTCCAGGCCGATACAAACTTTTCCAATTTCAAATAAATAATAAGCATATATTCATCTGTAATTGCTTCTTTGTAATCTTGTTTGTTATCTTTATGAATAATGTATTCTTAATTGTTTAAATTAATTATTAGGGTTGAATGAGAACGTTTAACTGTATATATCACATTAAAGATATTTTTTTATAAAAAGGAAATGAATAAGAGGGATAGAAAATGCTTTGATGCCTGTTTTATCTAATGAAGCTTCAGTACAATAAATACAAGGAGTATACAAATTGAATTTTAAGATATAAAAAATATGAGAATTACAATTTCCTATCACTATTACTTACTGCTTTGTAGCAGTCTGATTAATGTGAGACTTTTACATTTTCCTTTAGGTATTTGTTCAGCGCTCCACACATTCATATTTTTTAGTTTTCTAATATTTTTGCCATTTCTTTTTTTCTGCACTACTTGATAACATTTAATGGAATATTCATCACACAATAGGAAAACTGACTTTTCTTTTTCACCTCTGCTTCTAGAATCGTAAAAATATACTGTATTTCAAATTAAACAATTCTCTGTGCTGTTAAAGCTAGTGATTTTCACTAAATATATAGAAATATGACAAAATGCCCCATATCACACAAATACTGCAGAAACATAAATAATACGCATTTGTGCTTGGGAACATGGTACGCGATTAAGGCACTATAATGAGCTAAAACAAAACCACAACGTTAAAATGCAACAGTCCATGAAATTCTTATTGAGGAAATTCGAATGCGCAGTGAATAAATAATAAACTAAATATTACAGAAAACAGAAAGCAAATACATTAAAAAGGGATATTTTACAGGCTCAATTTTCGCAGACTACTTAAGGAGTCTCCATTTGCATACGGCAGTGCTCCATCTGCCGAGGGAAGTATTCCCTGCAAGAATGATTTAATATTTAATAGAAGTTGTGGCTGTTGTTAATTATAATTTGCACATTTACAAATCAGCACTGATAGCAATACAAATTATGAAATATAAGGGTGTTATGCTGGATACCCAGCAAAATAAGATGACAGACAAAGTTAATGGAGTATTTCTAACAACAGCGCTCTCAGAACACATCAAAGAACTAATCCAGCTACAAAGAGTCTGCGATGGAAAATCTATTTAAAATATTAAAACAGTGTTTGGTAAAAGCTTTTTCATACAGCATTTTACTTAAACAGTTGCTTATTTCTATGGGTCATTAGCTAAACAGCCAGATGCATTCAGCAAATAAGCATTTGAATGCTAGAATCTAAATAGAAGATATATTCCTGCTGTATGTTTAATAAAATCTAGAAATAAATACAGATTTGTGCACGCAAAGGAAATTATGGGAAGCCGTATTATTTTGAAGAAATATTAGTACTTGGGTGCACATAGTGCAAAAGCATTAAAGTCAAGCTGATTTTTTTTTTTGAAAGATTATACACTTTCTGTTTATACCTGATCTTGAGTTTCACTCATACAAATAGACTGTTATTTAGTGAGCGTACAGGAGGTGCCATTGATTTTTTCATTAATCTCATGTTTCTCTTCACGCCTCTTACCCAACATGAGCTATAGATTACAAACAAGGAAATTTAATCTAGAAATGTTTTAACACAAATTTAAGCACGTGCACTAACTTTTGTCCTCATTAACCAGTCGTTGGCCTTAACTTCTTGGATGGAAGGTTACAATAAGTAAATAAAGATTTGGGGATTTCTATTTTTCCTCTGAAAACGTGTATAACATACTAACCTGCTTTAAAAATAAACTACCCAGGATTTTTAATACGATGCTTATTTATCCCTCTGTTTAATAAACATGTAATCTTTATATTTGAAAAATAAAATT